CGCCAGACACACGCCGACGCCGACAATCCCCCCACAGGGACACATACGTTGCCAAAGCCCCGGGGGGGGGGGGGAGGGGCGGGGGAGCTGGGCATCATCCTGCTTGGACGAGCAGGTGCCGGGAGGGAGGCCCGCTCAAGCGGGAATTCTCCCCGCCAATTGTGCGGCGCGGATATCCTCCATCCTAATGCCCGCACTTCGCCCAGCCCTGTCCCTCTTCCCGCTGCCCTCCCTGCCCTCCTGCGCCGGTAAGATTGGGATGCGCGTCAGCCATCCAACTTATCGCGAATGCGCCCCCCCTCTTTGCACATGTGCGCCTGCTCGGCCAGGCCCACGGCTGACATGCCCCGCGACATCATCCAGGCGTGCTTCAGGCCCGAGGGCGAGCGGGGGCATTCCTGCGGCGCCCCTCCCCTCTGGGACGGGGCGCGGGCGAGGGCCCCCTTCCCCCCCCCCCCCCCCACCAAGCGACAAGACTGCAGGGGGCTCAAGAACCCGCGGCAAAAACACAGTTTGGCTCCCCTCCTCCCGTTTGAATCCCCGCGCCCCCCTTGGCGCAACGCTATCCCGGGCCCCGGTTCCGGGGGCCGCGGCCTGCTGGGAGTAGGGCCCCGGGAGTGGCCGGCTCAATCATGTGCGCAATACCTTGTCGTGGAGGAGAATCCCCGCGAGCAGAAGTGATGGGATACTGCCGGGGGGTGCTATGTCAGACTCCGGCGGGATACGGCTCCCTTGGAGCAATCCTGAAGTATCAGAAGGCTCGAAATCCGCGCCCACCAACGCCTGGCGGCCGCCACGCTGGCAACAGACAAGGGGGAGGGCCCGACCGAGCGTGGTCGTCCTCTGCGTGGCGGCCACGGTCTCGGCCAGTTCCGAGAGGGAAAAAGACCGCCGCCGCCGGTCTCCCGGTCCGGAGCCCCCCCTCCCATGCTGGCTTCCCTTTGCCTCCTGTGAGGATGATTGGGTGGTTCAATGGTGTCCAACCAAGATCATGGCGGGGGCTTTGTCCTGGGTCCGCCGACAGCGCGACCACCCGAGGGAGGATATTTTTCTCCCCTCGGTGCACAGCGGCATTTGTCCCTCCCGCTCGCGGAGGAATGCGCCCCCATTCCGGGAGGCCCATCCGCCAGGCTTGAGGAAGGCAGGCCCGTAACTGGACCGGATGATCATGCGGGAGGGTCAAGGCACGGGATACACCATGGGTAATTGGAAGAATGGTGTTTTAGATGTGATAAATTGGGCAGGCGGACGCGGTCCCGTAACTCACCCGACATTTTTGGTGCGAGATTCGAGAGGAGAGCACCAAGGCGGCCGACGGGGAGGGAGGAGGAGGGCGCGCGCGCGTGCGCGCCGGCAGGCGGCGCATGCTTATGCAGGTGTTGGGTCCCCTGCCGCATCGCTGCATCCTGTTCCTTGCTTGATTTATCTGGGCTGCTTTGCCACGAGGCCCCTCTCTCAAGGAGGGGAGGGGGGGGGGCCTTCTGGGAGGTCGAACTATGAATTTATTTACGAATGCAGGGTGGCTGGTGCATGCACTTTGCTTGATGTTGTTGGGGGTTTCTTCTGCCCCATATATCGGCCCCCGGGTGCGCGAGACACTCATTCTCGTGTCCTGCCCGATTCCGGGGGCGGGAGAAGCGCCATTGTGATCGGACACCTAAGAGTGGTCCCGGTCGAGATGCAAGGTCAGGTGCGACTCCCCCGGGAAGGACAGGGGGCAGAGCGGGCAGCGGATGGTCCCCTGGCCAGACGTGCCTGGCGGGAGGGACACAGTGCTTGCACCGCCTGGAGCAGTAGCACCGGAGATAGAGACAGGGAGGAAGGCGGAGAAGGAAAGGCAGAAAGCGCAAAGCAGGAAACAGGCGGAAAGAGACAGCAGTCAGCATGCATATGCGGATGGAGAGATAGATAGAGAGAGAGAGGGAGAGAGAGGGAACATCATGTACGCACCCTTGGTGGCAGAGGGCTTGGAGTTCTTTTGTGACTGCTTCTTACCAGACGAGGCTTGGTTCTTGGCCCCCTTCTTGCCGCCGCCAGTGCGTCCGGGAATGCCGATGCTCAGTGGCCGGAGCTGCTTGCGCCCAGCTTGGCGGCAGCCCCAGACCAGGAAGATCAGCACCAGCAGGGCCGCAATGCCAGCCAACACGCAGAAGAGGATCAGGTTCCCCTCGACCCACTGGAGGAAGCTGGCCTCGGAGCAGCTGCCCCCATAGCAGAAGCCGTCACTCCCGCAGCGGGTTCCGTTGCGGAAGCCGGTCCCGAGGAACTTGCAGGTTGTGTCGTACGGCAGCAGGCAGGTCATTCGGCAGGAGGCCAGGGCCTGAGGACAGGCCCCGCGGTAGGACGACACGTCCAGAATGGTGCCGGTGTTGCCCGCTGCAATGCATTGCGCATCGCGCGTGGTACACATACCGGATGCGCAGTAGGCCCCCTGTGTGTGTGTGTGTGTGTGTGTGTGTGTGTGTGTGTGTGTG